ATCGAAGACATCTTTAAGTGATTTGTAATCAGTGCCAATTCAAATAAACAGTGAAAAATCTAGGGTACATAAAGTGCCAAACAGGTTGGATTTAGTCAACCCATTTAGGGAAAACGTGAATAACAGGAGCGCATAGGTTTCAGAAAAAATTAAAAATCGATGATTTAGTGGTGTTCAGATTTCGGATTAATTAAATTAAATAAATTCGAAATCCCATTCACGGATTTCCTAATAAACTTGCAGCAAAATGTTTGACACTTGTTATCGTTGGTTCTCAGAACTAATTTGCAAAAGATTGTTGGTCAAAATTTGGGACCCCAAAAAAGGGCGTCACACGATCTTTTCACTATAAAAGAAAAAACGACGTATTGTTTCTAACATGATGTGGCTCAAGTGATGGAATAAAAACCGAGCTTTGTATTTCATATCTTGGGCAAAAATACTAAACTCTACTGATAAATTTGCCCCGTGGTCTCGTCAGGCAGATGAAGCTTCTCTGGGATTGATTTGATTGCTGCCCAAGTGCAACTGTAGACAACCACTTTCACCTTTTACAAGCAAGCCGAGCACAGCTAATCGTGCATAGGGTGCCCTGATACATGAATGTGGAAAACGGAAAAGATGAAGTTTAACAAAATCAGAGTAGTGGACGTTTTTGGTTCATATTTTGGGAGGAGAGGGACTGACGCCTGTTCTCCAAATTGGTGGTAAGCATTAGTGAAGTTTGAATGCAAACAGCGTGTGCATCGTTGTACCAAAACCCGCCTGACTCATCAAGGTGAAGATGGGAAAATATCCCCTGAACCCGTGCGAAATGATAGGATTTCCTTTCTGTTCTTCTCATTACATTCAACCCTATCTATCCCATCTTGGCGTAGTCTCAGTAAATAATTGTTTATCTCTGATTTTGACATCTGTGAAATTCAGCAACGGACCGTGATTTTGATTTGGTGCTTCCGGTACCAACAAACATTAATCGACTAAAGTACCGGATGCGGTATTATCACGTGCGTTTGTTGTCTTTGAAGTGACTTTCAAAATCTTTCGATCATGCGAATACTAAAGTAGCTCAAATTCACATTTCACCTCATTTTATTTCTATTAACCGACTATTTCTAGGTAACCACTTTCAACTAGAGCATACATTATTTTCCTCTTTCATTTTAAGTGTTTCGGAACAACTCTATTATGAGGCGTTATTCGCAATTTTCAAGTCGTCTAATTCTTGCAGTAATGCCTCACTGCTCTTTGCGAGGTCTGTGTCAGATCCAAACCCTTCTCACAACGTTTGCCAATCTTATCTGTGATTTGTTTATAATAGGTTCTACCTATGTAACAAGTCCCTGGATAGCATTTTAGCTGATACCAGAGATAGAGAGCAATTGTGGTCTCGATTCCCTGGTCTATCTATTGTCTGTTAGTGTGGGAATTGTTTTCTACGAACAGAACGACTTACGTGTTTGAAGCGTTTTGTTTTATTTGGTAAAACATCACTCTATATTTTGTACAAGTGTATATTGCAATAAGTAGCGGAAAATACGGCCCCCTCCACACGAAGCTTCTCCTCTAACGTTACGTTATAATTACACTGATATCGATATACTGCTTTGGAACTAACCGTCAACGTTATTCTAAAAGGATTACAACAGCTTTTTCAGCTTTTTGAAATCGGCCGCAATTCACTTCCATTTAACATAAAAGGTTTTACGGGGTATCTCAATAATTTTTCCCTCGGATACCCATCTGCACGGAGTTTTCCTGGGCTTAACTCATTCTATCTTAATCGAATGCCAAACTCAAAGCAGTTTATTCTTCCTAGCGATTGGGGAATTAGAACTACAACCAGCAAAATGAGAAGGTACTTGAAGAAGAATACGGATTTTGCCAGCTTGCTATACTGGCAAAAAACGAGGGCTCAACGTACTTTAGTGGTATTTCCTATATTCGATAACTGTATTCTCTCCATAGCGATGCTAAAATGCCTCGCACATGTCAGTTATTCAGGTGTACTGAATTTCGTCCCAGGGAAAGTACACTTTCCACAACGTACTTCCCAATAAGTTAGGTCGCATGTATTTTGTGCAAACGCATTGTTTTAGTTTACCTTTTACTTTCATGAACATGCATGCACTTGATTGCCTAAAGTCATGATAGACAGCAGTCCATTTGATATTTCAGGGTTCCACTAGCCAAATCAAAAACATCTAAATAGCCGGAGCGAAGGTGGCCAATTGTTTGTGTTTATATCGAAATGCGCCGATAAATATCAAACCAGAAACAACCCCACTCTTTTTATCGGCCCATGTGCTAAACACAAGGACACCGGTAATGCATTGTTCAATGTTAAAATTATACTGATACTGTCCTGTTATTGCTATGTGAAATTCAAACTGATCGCGCTGATTTTATGTTCCCCACCATGAATGAATGGATCGTTTTAAATATAATTCTGCTACTTTGACTATGATTGTACTAATTTGTACTAACGGCACCTAAATCTAAAATCAATACAATCTCGGATCACATGGTGCTTCTTGTTTTGAGACAATGGTTCATGGGATTCGGATGATTCACACAAGGTGAAATAATCGTTTTTATTTAGAGTGTATATTTAAAGTTAGCCTAATTTTCCGTTCTAGAAGGTTACTGGTCAAACTTTGGCCATACTGATAATTGTGTATTTTTGGCATTTGCTCAAGGCTTTGCCACCACCTCCACGACATCCCGTGCTCAGGTGAGAGGGGGCCAGAAAAATAGAGCCTATTGGTGTTTAAGCCCATTTACTGACAAGGATAATCAGAGAGGCAGTGGTGAAGTTAGGCACACAGTCTCAACTAACATTGGTCACTCATTCACTCCAGTTGATTTTCTTTAACTATGTATTTGCTATATATATCACCGGATGGCCTTTCTTTATTTTTTCTAAGGCAGGGTATCAAGAGGAAAATTATCGACCGCAAACTGCCATCTAGTATCCCAAGTGNAAGCGTTTTTTGGTTCTTCTAGAAATACACGCTGTGGTTGAATGAAGACTGAGGGTAGCACAAACTAATACCTGACATGAAGATATGCTACTTTGACCAGGGTTCTTGGTTACCCTGCTCGCACCAGACATCCTGGTCGAGGTTCAAATTAGTCAAATTAGTCACCGGGGTCTCGCAACCAGTGATATTCACAAGTCTACCCACCCTTCACGTATATCATTATTCGTATAGTGCACTTAACTTGCGACGGCTGGAACGAAGCGCTTTAAACGCTACCACTGGGTTATAGTTACAGCTGATATCTTATTAAATGTTTCCCTCATCCTCGGATTAAACGGTCGATCCTGTGCTATTCATTCCGTATCTTTTTTTATTTTACTTCATTTTAGGAGGGGAAAGCGACCTAGTCAAGGAATGTCATCCACGACACAACGGAAAAAGTCAAATGGGATTATAGCCATGTTCAATGAAAACAGAACCGAGATACGGAGTACTCCGTGAAGTTGGTAACTTGTTAACCTCTCGCGCTTCACGTGATCTTTTCATACTTCTTCAGTCTCGTCGTTTGATAAAGTGCAAAAATGGGATGTCGCACAGTGTCCGCATGTGCCGCATCAGACGTTTCGACGGCATCGGAAGTATGCGGCCTACGGGGTTGTAAGAAAGACGTCAAAACGGGGATATTATGCACACAGTATCTGAAACTTTTCCCCTTTCATGTGCCAAACTATTGGTAAAATAGGCAAAACAGTTGGCTCCTCAGCCAGAACGTATATGATTCTGTACAAAATCGCCACACTCGAGGTAAAAATATGCGACTTAAGTTCACAGTTCACACCAGTTACCCCGATCTGAAAACCTAACAAATGACCAAATGCTCAACACAAGTGGTGACCTCGCGGCAGAGAACGCACACGGCAGAACCGAGCGCGACAACAAAAGCAACATTAGAAGCACTTGCTACCTCGGAGCCCACACATACTCAGTGGCCTCCCTCATCTGCTCCTTCAAAGAAAACAGCTCTGCCTGCAAAAAAGAAAGACGCGACCAAAACTCCTTTGACTGTGCTTTGCACAAACGTTTTCGAATCCACGGCATTGTCACTGAAAGAGAGACAAACATACACTGAGGTGCTGGAATGATCTGTGTACGCAACCTATGGGTCTTACACCCCTTCGGCGACAGCCTAATTCACCTCATGCTAGAGAACCCAGGTTACTTCAGGTGACACTATGTAGTGAATCAGACGTAGAAAACGTTCTTCTGTCCCGCCTTCTCCTTCGAGGAAGTTCAAGTAAAATAAGGATTTCACCAGACAGACCATGGAGCGAGCGCGCGCACTAACGTAACTAACCCACACAGCGAGCGGAAAACAGACAATGCCAGAGTAATTCTTATACACAGAATCCCCCAATTAAATGCTCCAGACACATCAAAATGCCAGAAAAATGATTGTGAAGAGTGGTGCTTCATTCAAGATCTCACAGGTTGTTATCAGATCAGGACCACAGCAGTTAACCGTCTCCCTTGTTCTCCTAACTGCCGCGGAGACGGCCCGAAAATTCTGAAAATAACTCTAGGCACACCAGAAGTGGCTACGACTGTCTTACAGTCGTGGTGTGATAACAAGATCAAGGGACCATTAAAAATGCGGTTGAGACCGATGCTTAATCCATGAACACAAAGCGTTTCTCAGGCAGAAAATATCACCTCTTTACAAGCTGGGTTCCCACAGACTTCGTGTTCCTCCCCGCAACTGGCATATCAGACCCAAAAACCTCTTCTCTTAAAACCTTACCTTATCCGACCACGATACGGTCGGCTCAACGAACCCTCTGCTCCCCGACGAGTTTCTGCTCCGTTACCAACTGCATTGTTTCTACACTAACTCACAAGGTTTACTCAGCAAATTTTCATAGGTAGTACTGCGTTGCCAAACTGGTCAATGGGACATTATTACAGTCACCGAAACCTGGCTGACAACCGACATTCTGGACTCAATTAAGCTTACCCGGCATGACTCTGCTCACACGCGGTCGACCTACAAGAGGTGGTGGGGTTTTACTCTACTTTAGGAGCAAACCACATTGCGAGGTGATTGAATATCCTGCTGTGGCTTCTGACTCACTGTGGTGCAAATTGCGACTGGCGCAACGTGGTATCGGCTTGTTCGGTTTGGTGTACCGCTCTTCCTCATCTATAGACTCAGTCATTGAGACACTCTTGCAAACCATGTATCAAATTCTGTCACTGAAGTTCACACATTTTCCCATTATGGGTGACTTCAGTGACCCCACCCTAGCCAAATCAGCGACCTCTCTACAACCGTTTGAGAGGGAACTTGTACAACTTATGGAATCCTATTCACCTAACAATTTTGTGAAGGAGTTCACGAGGTTTGGAGCCAACCAACCACCTTCGGTTTTGGACCTGGTGTTAGCTAACGAGGAACTGATGACGGAAACGATTTCCACTACAACTCCATTAGGGTGTATTGATCTTACTATGCTGAAGATTGACTACATTTGATATGCATCCGTACCGCACAATTCTAAGGTTAGCTCCTGTATGTTTGTGGACTACACTAAACTTAAATTTTTGGAGAGAGATTTTCAATGAAAATTTCCCTACGAACAGTGTGATTACCTGGTATCCCGGGAAGAATGTACAAACCACCTGAGGGAAATGATGAAAGGCACGACGAAGACCAAACACATCAAATACTAAACTGGCCAAAAGATCAGCGATTCGAGGTCGGACAAAAATTGGATTTCGCAGAGGAATATCTCATGGAGAGCTTATAAACGATCGTGCAACAACACATGGCATACCTACTCTCAACTCCGAAACCACTGCACCAGGTTGGCGCGTGAAGAAATGTTAATACACCAAGAAACGCTCATGTGTAAGTTCATATCAAATCCCAAGCTGTCGCACAGACACATAAATGCCATCAGAAAAACGCTAAGAGTGGCAGAACGTGTTTCAGTCACAACAAAGAAGGCAGCTGAAATGCTAAAACGTCAGTACGCTCAAGTGTTCACCGCAGTTCAGAACACCGGAGTACGACCGCCTCTGTTAAATGAGGATATATCATAGCCAACGCTCATCAAAATTGATTTTTCCCCAGAAATTATAGCCTCGAAATTGCAGTGTTTGAAAAGGAACTCATCTTCAGGAGTAGATAATATCCATCTACAAACCCTCATGAACCTGGTGAGTAACTTGGCGCAACCGCTAAGTGAACTATTCCCATAAATGTTCAACAAAGCTTTGCTCCCACAAACATGGAAACAAGGATAATTTCTCCGATATACAAAAGCGGTTGTCATAGCGACCGAGCTAACTACCGCCCCATTACTCTCCACCCCGTATTATCCAAAGTCATGGAATACATTGTTGCAGACAACGTGATGGGTCACTTGGAAAAAACCATGTGTTATCCCCTGCTCGACATGGGTTTCGTCGCAAGCAATCGAATAACACTAACCTGCTTCTGACCCGAGAAGAGTGGACAAAAGCAGCGGATCACGGTGATGCAGTGGACGTCGTGTACCTTGACTTCTATAAAGCATTCGACCGAGTGAACCACAAAATACTGCTGAGGAAACTACACAAATAGGGAATTCGGGGACTTGTACTGGGTTGAATAGAAGAATTTCTTTGACGCATTTCGAGTTTCTGGGTCACTTTCTGATCCCATCAGCACAGCACAAAGAGTTCCACAGGTCCGTGCTGGGTGCTCAACTTTTCCTTGTTTTTATCAACGACCTAACGGACATTCTGAGGCCATCAACAATATTTTTTGCAGACAATATGGAAAGCGGGGCCAAAACCAAAGGACTCGCTAGAACTCCAAAGAACACGTGATGCTGCCTATCAATGGTAGATCCAAAATGACATGGAATTTATTGCATCAAAATATACGATCGTATCCCTTCGACACAAAACTCGGTTTCCATATTTCCTGGGAGATCAACAACTTCTCTATGTCTCCAATGCGAAGGATCTCGGCGTTCTTGTTCAAGACGACCTAAGCTGTTCTTTAAACTGCTCCCGGGCGTCGTCCACTGCTGTAAGACATGTTGGTTTGCTAAAACGAGTATTTGGCAAATTTGAACCTACGCGATTCCCACGATTGTTATCAGCATACATTCGACCCCACATAAAGTATGCCATTCAAGCATGGAATCCATGGCTGCAACGCGATCGGAAGATTCTGGAAAGTCCACAAAGAATGACCACTAAAATGATCAAGGGACTGCATTCCAAGAGTTATGAGGAAGGACTGGAATCACTGTGTTGTGTTCAACACAGTATCGCCACATTCGGGAGACTTGATCTTGGAATATCAAAAACTGCAGAACCCAGAACACCCATGTTGTTTACTCTTTTCCTTGTCCTCCAGCACATACCTAAGACGACACTCACTCAAATTAGTGCTCCAAAAATGCCCACTAGAATGCCGGCGTTATTCATTTGCCCTCAGTGTGCATTACGTGGAATTCTCTACCACTACAATTTGTTTCTGCTCCCACAATTGATTCATTCAAGCACATACTGGATAAAGCTTTGAAAAGTCTTAAATTTCAACACCCGTAGAAGTGCACGAAACAAGGAGAAATTGTGACATTCATCTACTTTGTATGAACTGAATCGATTCATCTGTGCTAAACCCTATGGGATTGGAAAAGCAACCGCTTATAAGTATTTCCCATAATAAACTTTGACTTTGACTTTGATGTCTGTGGCATTCATTCTAAATTATATCGAGACAAAAAAGGTTCGAGTTCATCTTGGAATGAGAGGGCCCAAGCTTCATTTGCTTCAAATGACGACTTTTTGTTCTTTTTCTTGTGAAAGCTTCCGTATAATGGGAAAGGTCGTTCCAGTCATCGTCAGTTCAGTTTCATTCATTTGCAGCCAATCATTTAGGGAAAAACTACAAATCTTTCTCTTTGCCGCAATATACAGGCCAAAACAAAGTGAAACGACCGAAGTGATTTAATGGTGGATTTACATCGATTACAGCTACTGCACCCGATGTCATGTATTCACATTTTCACAGCAATTCACTAACTTACGTGCAACCTCAATTCAGGATAATTGAAGTGTTGCGCTTCCGGAAAGTATTCTGGAGAATAGTTCTAACCAAGCAAAATGTCAAAAAGCGGTTTTCACCTTGAGCCGAAAGACCTTTGATTTGGGTAACGAGACAACATCTGTAGAGGACACAAATCACAACACCTGGGGTCTGTCTTGGCTCGTCGCTTTTTCCAAACACGAAACCACTAACAGTTTGCATGACATTCACTATTAAACAATCTAGAAAAAAGCTGTTACACTTTGTGTGTTTAAGCTCTTGTTCGATTTGTATTTGGACGCTTCGGTCTACGTTAAATAATTTAATCCAACCTTTACAGGTCTCGCAATAAATCGTGGATAGACGAATGATACATGCAAACAGGAAACAACGAAAGTAGCAAGAAATTGAAATCTTTAGTTGCATGAGCGCTTTCGATTTCATCGCCTAAATCTTCTTATGTCAATTCACAAGAAGGTTCGAATAGTTCAGGTATTACTTTAATATGGTTAATGCACTTTTGAGAAAAGAGAGACAGTTAATTTGATGACCTGGTAATTAAAAATTTCAAAAAAATTATCTTCAAATTAAAGTTATCTGGAAGACGTGGGGAGCAAACTAACGCCGGGAAGTGCAAATGGCTGTCAGACCGAATAAACTGTTGGTTTGTGAAGCTGGATTGAAGGGAAATCACCTAATATGCTATTATGAAATTAAGTGCAACATCTCAGTAGTCTATATAAAACCTGGAATGCCACTATCTTAGCCCATTGCAATTCGTGGTACCTGAAGCAAACCTCCGTATTCACCAGTAAACTGAAGTCGGGTGTTTTTGAAACCGTTTCCGATATTTAATGTATATCCCAATAATCTACTCTGAATAATGTTTCAGTTTTCGAAATTTAATTTAGTGAACCACATTCCTTTGGGGTTATTTCACGTTGGATTTTTATCCATTAGTATGCCGTGATTAAGATGACTGCTTTGCCTGAGGGAACTGAGGTTTATTACGGGTACGTTGTTTTCTAAAACGTTAATGCCATGTGCGACTACTCCAAAACAACATCACCGATGTTGATTACTGGGTACATAGAAACGGGAACATGAGTCACAGTTGTTGAGTTTTTACCGCATAATTCCAAATAAAATGTTTGTAACAAGCTCAAAGTACGTTCATGTAAAGCTTCTATGCATACGGTTGTGATGAATCCACTGTAATGTCACCACAACTCACAGNNNNACTCACAGGTATTCACAGTTGTCTTAGCCATCACACCAAGGTGCATATGACATTCACTAGTTTCATTTTTTCACAAATGAATGGATCCCATATTGTTGGGCACACGGGAATTCATATCATCTCACAACACCAAGGATAAGGAAAGCATTTCCATTTTACTTCACTATGTAAGGATGAAATGCCCTTGCCAGGTGCTCATATTGTCCAGTTAACGAACGGATATACAGGTTAGTGAATACTATTTGTTATCATTCGTGTACCGGATAAATTATAGTTGGGCTGAAAGCCTTGTACGTCGTCAAAGAAAACTGGCTTGTATTGGTCATATGAACGGGGAAAATCGAGCAAGTCTCTTGAATGCACATCGTTTGTGTGTAGTACAATAAACTTACTGTTCAACAAGTTTGAACAGCAGTTAATTGTACCTGGAATAGCTACAGGACCCTGATCCATTCGGTCGAAGTTGGAGTTCAAATTGAAAGTTCCCAGAAATTACTTGTTAATTTACCCAAACTCCGACTGCTACGGGCAACAGAAAACTATGCTAAGGTTATCGATAGGCAGGTTGGAGGACCCTGAAGGAACATTCCCAGTCGCCGGAATCAGATAAATGTATGGCATTGGGAATTACTTCAAAAACGTCTACAAAGTGGACGACGGACAAAATGCAAGTTCAGTCGTTACAAATGCAGAGCGAGCGGTGAAGTAGGATGTTTAGGCAGGGTAGTCAAGCAAGGAATGAGTTAATGATAAAAGATAGTTCAATGCAGAAATCGAATTGGCTGAATGGAATAGATTTCAGTATGGAGCAAGGCAGCGTGACACGCTTGTGGTAGCGGTCTATACCGTCCGGTCAACCGTTAATGCTATAAGCTAGTGCTTCAAACCACAACACAACATCATCTACCCTTCCCTAAATAAGTGTTTCTGGGAAAAGGTCATTATTTCACATGAAAAATAACAAATGACGATGAAATTATGCATGCTACTATGATCAAGACTGTCTTGTGATTCTAAGAAATATACTGGTCTTCGTTGTCAAGGAAACCCAACTAGTTTTGACCTTCTACATGCTTTCTTTAATGTTCTTCTATGTTGCTATATGTTTGATCTTGCACAGTGGCAATTCTTTTGGTTCCATTTTCTTGAGCGAAGCAGAGAATCCGCTTGTGTTCACTTTTTAACCACGTCCTCATGTTTAAGCGC